TGTTACAAAAAAAAAATTTCCCCTTTTTTTAAACAATTGGTATACTCATTGATTTATTTATTTTTATTGAATTATTTCATTAATTTAAAAATTATATTCATTAAAATTTTCGAATGTTATTAAAAATTTGACAAAATTATATGGCTGATCGACTTTATAATTTTCCCGGGCCGATGCACCAAAATTTAAAAGGGCTTCTGTTACGTCAAAAATAACGAGAAACCTTTTTAAATATACCTATCGTTCCTCGTTTTAAATTAGTTTCATAAATGAATCTAATTTGGGATGAGGATAAGTCAATGAGCCTACTAAATGTATTGAGAGAATAATTTATTTAAAAACCAACAAGAAAGAAAAGAGTTGACAAAATTACAATGAGTACAAAAATTATAAATCTTACTTAAAGAATAACGATTACTGGTGGTGTGATGATAATCTGTTGTCCGATCTCAATGGTGTTGAGCGGTAGACGAAAAGGGGCCTTTTGTTTGTTGTCCTCAGTGGTTGGGTATTAGACCTCTTGTTTACACTAATGAGATAGTGTATTGTATTGTTAAAATATCTGGTTCCTTCCAGACGGTTGTCGCCTCTTGAGCAAATTTCGATAGTTCGAAATTTGGAATGTGTTGTTTCAATATTAGGTATTCGTTGATGGATGAGATTATTTCCAATTTAATATTTTTGGAAATTGTTTAAAATTTATACTTTGCAAATGTATTATAAGAGGTTGTTTAAAGTTCACTTCTTATTTAATACTTGGGGAAATTATTCACTTTTGACAATGTACGTTCAAAATAATACTTGGGGTTATACGTTTCACTTTCAAAGTTGTACTTTGAATTCACTTGTAAACTATGTGATGTTTACTTGTTGACTGAGCGATGTGTACTGGTTGATTCCCAAAAAATTACTCTCTGTTATCTGCAGAAATTGTATCCCTTTTATACGAAACTGTCTTCATTAATGTAATGCTTTGGAATCATTCAAGTGTGGAATTTAAGTTTCACGTGTCGATATTGGTCAGATTAAGTGGGGGTGTTGGGCGACGGCATTGCTGCTGCTAGACGGGGCGACTGTTGACTCTTCTTCTGTCGCACGTGTCGATATTGGTCGGATTTTAAGTGAGGGTGTTGGGCGACGGCATTGCTGCTGCTATACGGGGCGACTGTTGACTCTTCTTCTGTCGCACGTGTCGATATTGGTCGGATTTTAAGTGGGGGTGTTGGGCGACGGCATTGCTGCTGCTATACGGGGCGACTGTTGACTCTTCTTCTGTTTTTTAGTTGGGTTGAGGGGCGAGTCGCTCGTTGCCTTGTTTGTTTTTCTTCATGTGGCGAAGATTATTTGAAGGTCGTTTAACTGATGCACTATCGTTATTCTTTTTACATGATTTAAAATATTACTCATCTTTCTTGAATTCATTATACTTGCAAATTGTTTAGATACAAATGAGATATATAAAATATGCTAATTATAATGCAATGGTATGAAATACATAGAATAATAATATAACATATAAGAAAAATACAATATAAAAAATAGGAAATACATTCATAAGTATCGAAGTTAAATTAGGTATATTAACAAGAAGTTACGGACGTAACAGAATATATTGTGATATTGTTACTAAAATTTCTTCAAAATTATTTGTATCATTTCAATTCAATTAAAATTTTCTAGAATTTTTAACTAAAATTTTACTTTAAATCAATAACATCAATTATTATTATTGAATTAAACTTTTTCAAAAAAAATTAATTCTTCAGAATTTGTTAGTTAAAAGTACGAAAAACAATAATTTAATTTTACGAGAAATCAATTATTTTAATTTACAAAAATAAATAATATTGAATGTTTCTTAAAATTTAATTTTTACGAAGAATTGTATTAACAACTATTGAAAATATTTAATTTCTTTCAGGAATTTAATTAAAATTTTAATGAAATTTATTATATTAAAGAATTTTATAACAATTTTTGAAAATAATTAAAAACTTTTTGTAAAATTTCATTAAATTGATTAAAATTAATTGAATTCCTAAAAATAATTTAAATAATATTTTTTGAAAATAATTGAATTCATAAAAAGAATTTTATTAAAATTTTTTACAATAATTTAATTCTTGAGAAGAATTTCCCTATCTATTTATGAAAATAATTCAATTCTTGACGAGAATTTTCAAAAAATCTTGAAAATAATTTAATTTCTGCAAAGTATTTTATTATTTTTCAAAAGAATTGAATTCTTGTGATGAATATTAATATTTATCAAAATAATTGAATTTTGGAAAAGAATTTTATTAAAATTCCTCAAAATAATTGATTTTATGGGAAGAATTTGTGCAATTTTATTGTTTATCAAGCTATTTGAATTCTTTTGCAAAATTATTTAAATTTTTTTGAAAATAATAGATTTTCTGCGGCGAATTAAATGTTATTTATGAAAATATTTGAATTATTGCAACGAATTTTATTGTTTTATTAAATATTTAAATGTTTCTTAAAATTGAATTCTTTGCTCAAGTTTTAATCAAATTTGTAATAATAATTGCATTTTTCAAGGAATTTATTTAAAATTGTATTAAAAATATTTGAAATTATACGATGAAAATAATTAAATTCGTAAATGAAATTTTATTATTTATGAAAATAATTGAATCTTTTCGTAGAATTTTATCAACAAATTTTTGTCTATAATTAAATTTGTTGATAAATTTTATGAAAATACTAAATATTTAAAACAATTGAATTGGAAAAAACTTTTAAAAATAATTGAAATGTGGCAAAGAATTTTATTTAAATTTTTGAAAATAATTGAATTATTACAACGAATTTTATTATTTTATTGAATAATTGAATGTTTCTTAAAATTCAATTCTTTCCTTAAGTTTTAATAAAATTTTTAATAATAATTGCATTTTTCATGGAATTTTTTTAAAATTGTATTAAAAATATTTGAAATTATGCGATGAAAATAATTAAATTCGTAAATGAAATTTTATTATTTATAAAAATAATTTAATCTTTTCGTAGAATTGTATCAACAAATTTTTGTCTATAATTAAATTTGTTGATAAATTTTATGAAAATAGTATATATTTAAAAACATTGAATTGCCTAAAACTTTTGAAAATAATTGAAGTTTTGCAAAGAATTTAATTAAAATTTTTAAAAATAATTGAATTCTTGAGGAGATATTCATTAAAATTTATAAAAATAATTAAATTCGTGCAAAGTATTTTATTAAATTTTGTTTAAGTAATTGAAATTTTTCTAAGAATTTAATTAAAAATTTTTAAAATAATTGAATTCTTGAGAAAAATTTTGATATTTATCAAAATAATTGAATTTTGGAAAAGAATTTATAATTAAAAATCCTTAAAATAATTGATTTTATGCGGAGAATTTGGTTGGTTATCAAGATAATTGAATTCTTTTGCAGAATTACTTAAAAATTATTAAAAAAAAATTAATTTCCTGCGACGAGAAAAATAGGGGAAATTTTCAAAATAGGGTACGTTTAGGGGCCAAAATTGAAAAAGGGGACTTTTAGGGAAATAGGGGACAGACTGTGAAGCCTGTTATTGAAAAGAAATTTAGTATTTATGTAAATAATTGAATTATTGCCAAAAATTTTATTAAACTGTTTAAAAAGAATTGAATTTCAGTGAATAATTTTGTTATTTATGAAAATAATTGAATTCTTTATAAAAATTTTATAAAAATTGTTATAAATAATTAACTTTTTCGAAATATAATAAATATTATAAAAATTTTATTTTAAATAATTGAATTCTTGTGTGAAATTTTATTCGTGAAAATAATTAATTTTTCGATTAATTAATTTAAAATAGTATTAAAAATAATTGAAATTTTTCGTAGAGTTTTATTATTTATAAAAGTTATTGAATTCTTGCTTAGAATTGTATAAATAATATACATAATAATTAAATTTTGAATGATTTTTATCAACTATTTTTTTAAATAATTCAATTCTTTTTCGAAATCTTATGAAATTAGAAGATATTTAAAATAGTCTGTTGGGCCAAAGTATGAAAAAAATTAAAAGTTAAAAATAAATATTTTTAAAAACACTTTCTTTTATAAAATGAAAATGCGCAACTTTTTTCTCTTTACAATTTTTTTGTAAAGAGAATATTGTTGACAGTAGAGACAAAAAACTAGAAATTTTTTGTTACAAAATTTTATTGAATTTTAAAACATAAATCGTCATAACTCGGACAAATATTGACGGATTTCGCCTAAAATTAATATGCAATCCTGTTAAGGTCTACTGATGTTGATAAAATAATGAAATTTTGAAAAGTGACTTTTTTTAAACAATATTTAATTATAAATAGGGGAGTGTCGGTAACGACGCATTCTATATTTAGACGACAAAAAGTCTGCGGGGAACTTTTGAGTTTAATAAACTTTCAGTGACAAAGTTTTTCATTATGAATCAAGGAAGTTTTCTAAACAGGTTTTAAACCGATTGTTTAAAAATTAACAAAAATATATCCAGATTAAAAAATCACGCAGTGCAACGACGCGCCGCGCCGTTTGACATGTGTTCTCGTCCTATATGTGTATCACACGTTACAAATGTATTTCCTTCCTATTCCAAACACATGTCAAACGGCGCGGCGCGGAAGAAGGAAATAAGGTGATTATGTAAATCGATTCAGTGTGCAGGTTGCTGCCTATTGAATGCGTAAAGCGATGATCGCTCATTTGTTTTTAACGTAAAGTTGCCTGCTCAAACCTGTAGAATCATTAATATCAATTGCGATTAAGTGTTTAATATTTTGTCTAATACAGACAATTTATTAGACCTGAAAGTGAATTTGCATCTAAAAAACTTATTTTTGTGAAGTGTGAACGTTTAAAAGGACAGGAGATAATATTGGATAATATTTTGTCTAATATTTCATTTTTATTGTAGTTTAAAGTAAATTTTTTATTTTTAAAAACTATTATTACAGAAACGCAAAATTTTGTAAATAACTATTACTTTTGGTGAATTGTGAAAGTGCAAGTGGACAGGAGATTTTTTTTAAAGTGGTTTAGTGATTTAAGTGTATAAAACAATGGAGGAGAACAACAAAAAAGGTAGCGAACGCCAGGAACAAGAGGACAACAGCAAGGACAAAAAGGACAAACAAAATAGGAAGGCTGAAATTTTAAACAAGTGCTACAAGCGGAAAAGTGGAAATTACCGTACCAGCGGCAGGAGACTCTCAAAATCAAAAGCAGCTAGAGCAAGGTAAGATTTTTTATAATTTTTTCATTACATTGTTCAATAATTTTTTAAACTTTTAGAAAATTATTTACTTTGTGTCATATCTTTGAAGTTTTAAACATTTAAATGAAATAATTTTAATTTCATACACACATCCTTTTATTATAATAACCCATGTGGAAGAGTTGCGGAAAATTTACGGAAACTTTCCGGAAGAGGTTTCCGAAAATTTTCCGGAAATTGATAATTTACGTAACATTTTTCGTAGGACTGAATTTTTCTTCTGGAAATTGATTTATTTTGTACGTTAATTTTTTTGTGGAAGTGAATTTTTCTTCCGAAAATTTTCCAGAAATTGATTTTTTTTACGTTAATTTTTTTCTGGAAAAAAAAACTTCTGGAACGAAGTTAAAGTCCACAACGTTGATCAACGAAAAAAATTTATTTAATGCAATCAAGTATTATTTTTAATTTAATATTTAATTGTAAAATAATTATTATCAAAACATAAACATCAATCTTTTTTTTCTAAATATTTTAGTGTCAATATTACTGCGTAATTTTTAATTAATTTATTTAGTGAACAATTTTTTTTGTTGATCAACGTTGTGGACTTCAACTTGGTCTTCTGGAAGTCGATTTTTCTTCCGAAAATTAATTCATTTTGTACCATAACTTTTTTGTGGAAGTGGATTTTTCTTCAGAAAATTTTCCGGAAATTTATTTCTTTTTGACGTTAATTTTTTAATGGAAGTACTTTTTACTTCCGGAAATTTATTTCTTTATGACGTTATTTTTTCCGGAAGTTGATTTTTCTTCCGGACATCATTTCGCTAAATTTCCGGAAATTGGTTTTTTAAGTTCATTTTTCCCTTGAAGTAGATTTGTCTCATAGAAACTTTCAGGAAATTGATTATTTTTCTGACGTTAATTTTTTTCTGGAAGTCGATTTTTCTTCCTGACATTTATTTCTTTTTGACGTAAATTTTTTAATGGAAGTAGATTTTTCTTCCAAAAATTTTCCGAAAATTAATTTTTTTTGCATTAAATTTTTCGTGGAAGTGGAATTTTTTTCAAGAAATTTTCCGGAAATTGATTTTTTTGACGTTTTCTTTCTGGAAGCCGATTTTATCTTCCAGACATTTTTCGGAAATATTTTTTTTGACGTTAATTTTTTAATGGAAATAGATTTTTCTTCCGAAAATTTTCCGGAAATTGTTTTTTTTTACGATAAATTTTTCCTGGAAGTCGATTTTTCTTCCGGAAATTGATTTTTTTTGACGTTATTTTTTTCTGGAAGTTGATTTTTCTTCCGGAAATTGTTTTTTTAAATTAATTTTTTCCTGGAAGTCGATTATCTTCTAGAAATTTTTTGGAAATGACTTCGGAAACTTTCCAGAAATTGATTATATTTTTGACTTTTTTTTTCTGAAAGCCGATTTTATTGTTCACAAATTTTTCGGAAATTGTTTTTTTTATGTTAATCTGTTAATAGAAGTCGATTTATCTTCGGTAAATTTTCCGTAAATTTATTTCTTTTTGACGTTAATTTTTTAATCGAAGTAGTTTTTACTTCCGGAAATATTTCGAAAATTTATTTCTTTATGACATTATTTTTTTCGGGAAGTTGATTTTTCTTCCGGATATCATTTCGCTAAATTTCCGGAAATTGGTTTTTTAAGTTCATTTTTCCCTGGAAATCGATTTTTCTTCTAGAAATTTTTAGGAAACATTAAGGAAATTGACTATTTTTTGACGTTAATTTTTTAATGGAAGTAGATTTTTCTTCCAAAAATTTTCCGGAAATTTATTTTTTTTGGCATTAAATTTTTCGTGGAATTGGATTTTTTTCAGGAAATTTTCCTGAAATTGATTTTTTTGACGTTTTTTTCTGGAAGCCGATTTTATCTTACAGACATTTTTCGAAAATAATTTTTTTTGACGTTCATTTTTTTCGGGAAGTAGATTTTTTTACCAGAAATTTGCTGGACATTGATTTTTTTTTGACGTTATTTTTTTTCTGGAAGTTAATTTTTCTTCCGGAAATTTACCGGAAATTGTTTTTTTTTACTTTTTTTTCTGGAAGCCGATTTTATTGTCCAGAAATTTTTCGGAAATTGTTTTTTTTATGTTAATCTTTTAATAGAAGTAGATTTTTCTTCCGAAAATTTTCCGGAAATAGATTTATTCTGACATTACATTTTTCGTGGAAGTGGATTTTTCTTCCGAAAATTTACCAGAAATTGTTTTTTTTACTTTTTTTCTGGAAGCCGATTTTATCTTCCAGAAACTTTTCGGAAATTTATTTTTTTTGACGTTATTTTTTTCTGGAAATTGATTTTTCTTCCGGAAATTTTTTATTAAATCACTTCAACAATTTTCCGAAAGTTTTTTTTTTTTGACGTTAATTTTTTTCTGGAAGTCGATTTTTCTTGCGGAAATATTCAGTAAATCACTTAGAAAATTTTCAGAAAATATATTTTTGACAAAAAATTTGTGTGACGTTTTGAAACAATTTTGATGTGAATTTCATGCAATAATTATATAGATACAGAAATTATAAAAAATATATTACAGACGGAATATTCGATTATCATAAGTAGGAGAGACCGGGGCGTAATGGTTCACTTATTAGTTTTTGTTGTTTAATTTAATTATTCTTGCTCACACTCTTTTTTCTACAACATTTTTTTTGAAAAAATGCAAAGTGAACCATTATGCCTCGGCCCGGGGTGTTTTGAATCAGGAATGAAATTATTATTTAGAAAATTAAATATTATTGACAATTTTGGTTTGTACTGTAAATTTATTATAGAATAAAAAATATTGAAAATGTAACATATTTAATTTAAACTTTAACCCTTTGCCGTTGATATGTTACGAAATGTCGTCTAGAGTCCTTTTTGGGGGAACAGCCAATGAGAAGAGGCGTTTATGCTTGTGTTGATAAGTTAGTTATGTGTGAGAATGTAAGTGTCTAAACTTGCAGGATCGTACCTTCTCAAAATTGGAACCCATTTATATTTTACAATAAATTATATTTAATTATACTAATTGATTACTAAAAATACGATTTTTTGTGTAAAGTGTAAATGTATATTTGCAATTTATTACAATTTAAAAATGACAAATTTGATTGTTAAAGACTTTTATCAAACATAAATATCCTATGTAAACATAACCTCAAAATCAAACTAACATCCGGCCCTGATATTGTCTACGTGATTCAACTGTCAAACTGCTTGTTTCTGAGGTGGGGAAAACTTATGTACGGCAAAGAGTTAAACATTTTCATGAAATCGTTAAATTTTAAAAAGTTGGAGCGAAATAAAAACTATACATTCATTTAAAAAATATATTCTTTATAGTCAGTTTTTTAAAAAAGGGTTATCATTGGTATTTATTAATATATAAATTACAAGAAATTAAACCGACTTCTAGAAAAAAATTTTGATGTTAAAAAAAATCAATTTCCTAAAAATTTACAGAAGAAAAATCTACTTCCATAGAAAAAAAATTAACGTCAAAAAAGAAATAAATTTCCAGAAGAAAAATCGACTTTCAGAAAAAATTTAATGTCAAAAAAATCAATTTCCGGAAGAAAAATCGACTTCCAGCAAAAATTTAACGTAAAAAAAAATAAAAAATCAATTTCTGGAGAGCTTCCGAAATGATATCCGGAAAAAAATCGACTTCCAGAAAAAATAGGACTGTGCGGTAAAGTGGTATACCGGTTTTTTTTCGGTATTACTGGAAACCGGTTTCCGGTTATGAATTCCCGGTTTAAGGTTTTGTTTTTTTAATAGGTTTTGCAAGAAATACCGGTTTTATTTTTTAAACCGGTTTTTCGAACGCAATACCGAATCTAACCGACTTGCGCATTATGCCTGCGCAAAAGTGACATAACGCCAGAACAACAACAGATTATTGAGAAAGATTAATCTTTTTTGTTTTTATTAGACATACAGTGACTTTTTTTACTTAACAGATCAATTAAAAAATTTTGTTTTTGAAAAACAACCTAATTTTTGTAATAAACCAAATTTTCTTAAACCAGTTTTCTTTTTAAACAAAATGGTATTTGAAAAACCGTTTTTAAATGCTTTTTTTTTAAACGGTTTTTTTTTAAAATACCGGTATTTTAAAAAAACTATTTTTTTTAAAATACTTCTATTTAAAAAAAACTGGTTTAAAAAAAAATATCGGTATTTAGAAAAAAACCGGTTTAAAAAAAATACCGGTATTTAGAAAGAAACCGGTTTAAAAAAAATACTGGTATTTAAAAAAACCGGTATTTTTTAATACCGAAAATCGACTGAAGAACCGGTTTTTTCAAAAACCGAAAACCGGTTATGGATTTTTAATACCGCACAGGCCTAAGAAAAAATAACTTAAAAAAATCAATTTAGGGAAAATTTCTGGAAGAAAAATCGACTTCCAGGAAATATCTAACGTCGAAAAAAATAAATTTCCGGAAAGTTTCCGAAGTGTTTTCCGGCAGAAACATCTATTTCCAGAAAAAAATTAACGTAAAAAAAATTAATTTTCGGAAAGTTTCAGAAGTGATTTCCATTAAAAAAATCCAATTTCTGGAAATTTTTCAGAAACCTCTTCTTCCGGAAATTTTCCGCAACTCTTCCACATGTGTAATATTGTATCAAAAAATATTTAACAAAAATTAAGGGGAGGAATAATAAAATATTAATCAATCTAATTATTTGCCTATAGGTGATAATTAATTATATGACAATTTTAAAGATTTCAAATTGAAAAAATTAATTACTTTTTAATTAATTTAAATGTTTATTTATTATTTGTCATTAACGGTTAGTTAAATCACAGTTGCCATACATCAGAGAAATTGTAAAAGTCGGTATTTTTATTAAAAGTAATGGGAAATGGTGCCGTGAAGCTAGCGGCAAGCCATCCGCCAGACAAATCCGTAGGCGTCGCAACTGAATAATACGAAATGTTGCATTCTTCGTTCCTTCTTTTTCGTGATAATTTCTGTCACTATAGAGTTG